TCGCTACTAGGGTGGAGGCCATTCCCACTAGTAGCAAGGAGGCTACTAGGGGGAGGCCATCGCTACTAGTAGCAAGGAGGCTATTGAGGGAGGCCATCGCTACTGGGGTGGAGACCATTCCCACCCTAGTAGCGATGGCCTCCCCCCTAGTAGCGTCCTTGCTAGTAGTGGAGGCCATTCCCACTAGTAGCAAGGACGCTACTAGGGGGGAGGCCATCGCTATTAGGTTAATAAAAACATAATTAAACCTTCCATGCGATTATGATACGGTTTTACAGTCCAAATGGAGGGATGAATGGACACCACAGTGGTAACCACCGAATGTGTGCGCAAAGAAGATCCAGTCGCATCCACCTATTGGTCTCTTTGTTCAGATCCATGGCCTCACAAGTTGGAGTCCCTCGGGCATGGAGGTCACTTCCAAGTAACTTATTGATGCAGGACCAGACAGACTAGTGAGCTGACAAGATGACAAGTGAACCTCACACGTCCCACCACGAATTCCTTTGGGAACTGAGGACGGTCCAAAACGACTCCTTTATCTTATGGTACAACCCCTCGAACTTGCCTCCACTCGCCCAACATCTCCGCCTCCACTCGGCCTCTCCGGCTCGATCGCCTCGTTAGGAGCAGAGTCGACTCCCCAAATCGGTCCAGGGCTCAGTCCAACTCAGCCGAACAAACGTCGAAGTGTGGACGAAGAAGTCACGCTTCAAAGGTCAAATCACCATGGTGTGTGCTGGATCCGATTCCACTGGTTTTGGGGGGGTTCAGGGAGACTGACCTATAGGGAGACCCTCAAAACAACCACTGGGAAGGTTCGGAAAATTGGCTGGCGCCATTGGTGGGGGGGTGTCCTTGTTAGACATGGTGACATGGCGCCATATATGAGCTAGCTGGGGTCGTTGACAGGATCTCAGTGAACAGCAAAGTTAGACTCGACATTTGAGCGATCTGGGGGAGAACTGGCAATTTGGTATCAGTATCGGTGGTTGCAAGATGGCTAGCACTCCTCTTACCAGGATGAGTCTCACTAGATCCTTAAATTTGTATGAAGCCGAGAATCATAATGGTGATGGAGGATGATTTACATTGGCCAGCCAATTCGCAAAACTTCTCCCAGCTCACTTTCAGCTCACCTTCGCTGCGCAACGCGCTACGCAATGCGTCCAATTCTGAACGCCCCGCCAAGGTCCGATTGATGTCCTTGCTCTGGACCTTGACCTTTCCGATCTCCGTGCTCGTTTGCTTGGCTTTTTGGACACTGATCAATCCGGTTTGGGATCAGAAGATGCGACCGGGCTTTGCAGCTCGGCATGGAGTTATTTGAGCAGAAGGGTGGATGGATGGGGCAGAAGGGATGGCATTTGGTCGGTTTGCTTACAATATGATGTGGATGACTGAATCCACTGAAGGTAATTAGGTGGAGTGCGTGGATGTTCTTTTCATGCCAATGAAGCACGGGATTAAGTCCAAATTCCTGTTCGGAGGGATTGGTAGGGGATGAAAAGCGGCTGGTTGCTGATGGAGGATGCTGGAGGATGAGAGGTTTGGGAGTTGGATCGGAAGATCCTGTGGATCAATGCGACTCCGTGGTGGCGACTCCATCGGTTGAGGGGGGGGCAAAGAGCATCGGTATCGATTCAAAGTGGTAGACTTCGGAAAGCTATAGCCTCGAACCTGGAAGACGCTTTCGTCACTGTATTTTAAAAAAACATATATATGAATATACACTGGTATACATATACAGTGGTTTTGGCATTCTGTTTTGGTTTTTTTGTGGCTGCTCGATTGTTCACCTGGAAACGTTGCTTGAAACGTTTGGACACCTCACATGGCACGAACACACAAGAACGAACGCTTTGGAGTTGTGTATCGGTGTGGTGTCATGCCACACTATGTCCGTCTTACAGTAGGGCCATTGGTATGAGATCCTATGAGTGAATCCCTTTCATTTGTTCTCGGTTCCTGGACAGCAAGCACTGTGACCGATGGTGTTCTGTGACCTGTTTTGATTGAGCACAACTGTGACCGAACTTTGAGGTCTTGCTCACCGAGCACTTTGTGAACATGTGGATTTTCATCTTCGAATTTCTCATCAACCGGAACACGTTTTACCTGAAGCATGGGGTCATCATCTACGCCTATGCCCTCTTGTGCGCCAAACTTGTGTGTGTGTGTTTTTTTTATACGAATGACACACGACCTGGCTGAACAAAGAAGGACTGAAACTGAAGGCACTTCGTCAAGGACACCACTCACCCTGACTCAGCCGACTTACCCTGCAGCATCCTGTGGAGCAGCATTGGATCGGCATCTCATAGCGACAAGAGGTACAGCCTTTGGAGCGTCATCCATTTTCTCGCGAAGGTCGGAGTCTCTCCAGATATGGCATGTCCAGAGCTGAGCAAATTCCCATTTCTGTGAATTTGCCAGAATCTGTCTCAGCAAAGGCATGTAAAGTTAAAGATGTTGGCCGGTCTTTCACATAGAGATTGATGTGGGTGAGTGGTTTCTTTCGGGGACACAGACAGCGAAAACCACGGATGATGGACTGTGTGGGGGGGGGGCGAAGCGGTCGGTCAGGGCGACGATGTAAGAGATAAATCTAGTGGGTGGGTTTGGGGATATCGATATTTCCGCCTAAATCTTGCTGGTGTATAATATACTCAGTTTTTTTGTATGTTTAGGTTATTGCTTTATTTGTAGGGCTGCCGCACCAAGCACCTTTTGGAACTCGTTTGGAGTCGCGGGGTGATGCGTGTCCGTTCCAAGGTCATGACTACCCGTTGGATGAGTGTCCCATTTATCCTGTGCTGGATTGGCATCATCCGGCAAGGACAGAATCCTCGGATGTGGGCCAACGGCTTGTGCCAAAGCATGTTGTCTCGGCATTCTTTGGTACACTTGTGAAGAAGACTGTTAAGAGAATGTATGAGATTGTTAAGTGTTGTTGTTATCATCCAGGAGGTCATCAACAGGTTTCTTGTTAATGCGGAGCAACCAGATCCAGCATCTTTGAGAGTATTCTGTTTCACAGTGTTTCCATATGTTTCCATCTTCCATACACGGTCAGCATTTTCTGTACACGTCATGAATGAACCCAGCATTGGGGCAGCTGCGTTCGACGTTTCTAACGTTTCTTGAACTGCTCAACTCGGAGTGTTAGATCTGGAAATCCATCAGTCTCCTGGTCTATCGATCACCGTTGGATCAGCCTCAAGCTCTTTGTGTCTTTTCTTCCCGAATGCGAAGAGGTTTGGGTTCTCGTTTATCTTTGGGAGTCTGAGGGTGGAGGGTTGTTCGCTCCATCTTGTTCTTCAACCCCATTTTGAAGCTCTACAAGCACCTGTGTTAAGTCGTCTGTTCTTGTAGAAAGTCGTCTGGATGCTGCGTTTACAATGGGGTTAGATGCAAGATGGCAATATAACTGGAAGAGTGTCATGTCAACAACATTGTTTGGATGCTGCGTTTGCATGCAGGTTAGAGGGAAGGTGACCAAAAAGTGATTTGAAGATAGTCGACGTGGGTAGGTGGATACCTCGACTTGCGTGGCACTCGTGTCAGGTTTGAAAAGAGCAAGTAGAAAAGATTCGCGTAGTCTGAGCATGCTGCATCTATGTTTGCAGGCTAATCTTCATGATAATGATAGTCCTACTCTTGCGTTCTGATTGGGTTTCGGTCACCAAACGCCGCAAACTTCGACATAAATCTAGTTCTTTTGTGGACAGGGGCAATGAATTCTTGATGTAGAGCAGTCTTGACAAACATATTTATGTAGTGCGTGGACATGGTGTTTTAACATAAAACGGGTGACTTTTCGCACGCCGGGTGACTTTTGACTAATGCCGCGTTTACATGCGGCCGGGTGACTTTCTGCAAACCCGGGTGACTAAACCCCGACGCTAGTAAGTGATCAAGAGACCTGCGCCGGTCAGGACTGTGGTGGTGGTTCTGGGAGTGCTGGGCTCGGATGCGACGAAAGGTGGCAATAATGTAAAACAACGCCCCATCCTTCCAATGGATTCTTCCAGTGCGGTATAACAGATTCCAGCCTCTATCAAATTTACACTCAAACTTCCAGCAAAGAGTTTACCCAGGTCTGCTTGATGACAGTGCTCCTCCAGCTGGTTCTATGGAAGTGCACGCGCCTGCGCGATCGACGCTTTAAGGAAAGCAGCTCGAACGCAACACATCCAGAAACATCCGTTTGACATGCGGGGTGAGGCCAACTGAACCCAGAAAGAGAACATGTTGGATCACATTCATGACCAGTGTTGGACCAGTGATTGGATTGTTGATGACTGGGATTTTTGGAACACAACCTGTGATGGCCCCACCCCAAAGATGGCACAGACACCTTGCTGAAAAAAAGTGAGCGAGACTGCAGAACTGGTGGCAGCTGCGGGTGGAAGAGTAATGGGCATATTATATTGTTATCAGTGTTTTTGCAATGGTTTCAAAGTATAGATTGCACAACCTCCTAGACGATCTTGAGGAACTGTATCCTCCACAAATCATCTTCAACAACTGTTTTCTATACATAATGGTTTCTATGTCACAGGGCGGGTTAACAACCTGACACACGAGGAGTTCTCAACGTGCATTCCAGCTGTCCAGCCTCCGCATCCCTGATCGCTGCTCCAAGCTTTGTACGACAATCTTATTCGCACTGGAAAAGGATCCTCCGAAGTTACAGTAAGCAGTTATATAGGCATTTAATGAACTCCTGTAATTAATACCAGTTTCGGAGGTTCAACCTTCTCTCAGGACCAAATTGTGTCTCACCACTTGCATCCACGCATCCATCATGACTTGGGACATGTTGAGAGTGCTTCCCAAAAGCTGACAGGAATATACCTGATTTCTGGGCCCTGGGTGTTTCCCTCCCTTCTTCAGCTTGCTTCCACCCTTGTGTACGCCATGAGTCACGCTCGCTTGATGCCACCTCCAGTGAAGGCCAGGTGGATTCGTTCCTCTCAGAGCACTGGAAGGGATGCGGGAGTCATCTCCAAGCCGTTTTGACTGACAGTTTGGGTATGGATGTCAACCCCAGACACTCCATGGGACTGGCATAGATACCTACATTGGGATGCAATACATGGAGTGTTTTGGAACTAGATCGTGTTCCTCAACAATCGATCGACTACCTGTGAAGTAGAGAACGAAGGGGAGTGGGGGTCGACATGTCGAACAGCTTAAACTATAGCCCATCAGCTTCTGCAAAGTTGTTGCAAGAATAGTTTACATCGCAGGCAGTTGCTTGCGATGTGGGCAGCCCAAGGAACCTTCCTGATCTGGCTGGGGCTTGTGTTGCTGCTCACTTTTGGGGGTTCCGTGATCTTGCAGGTCACAGATTGTCACAGATGGTCACAGTGTCACAAGAAAGTTCGATCTCAAACCCGAAAGTCCGCTTGACTTGTGCGAGAAGGATGAGAAGGGGGGAGATGATTCACCCAAGAATGATGCGAACCACTCACCCACAAACGAACGTGATGGTTCACGTCCTGTCCATCCTGTCCTATCCTTTGCCTTTTGGGGGAAACAGGAAGTTCGGAGCCACATCTGGCGCAATGTCCAACGTCCTGAGATCCGGCCTGAGAAACACCGCGCAGATCGAGTGCGCTCTGGTGTTGAGGGCGAGAAAAGATCCCACCATCCCATGGCCAATTTCGATGATTCGTGCAGTCCATATCGGAGCTCCTGCGAAAACTCCTCTTCCAGAGTGACCCTTGCACCGCGGGCGGCTGCACCGCACCGCTTTTTGGACGCGGCGGAGGCGTTTGGGACGCCCTACAACCACCTGCGGTACCGCTACCCTGAGACCTGGAGGAGGCGCCGAAGACGTCCGGGGAGAGGGGAGTCCGCTCTAGAGTGGGGCGCAGTGGAGGGAGTGCCAGTGCCTTCTGTGAGGAAGATAGAAGAGAACATGAGAGAACAATAGGCCAGGAGTGTTTGGACATTGCAGGGTGACGAGTTGGAAATCGATCCATTGTGAGTGCCTGTGAGTTCCGCTCACGTCGTGAGGGAAAAGAAGACCTATAATAACGGTGCCTATATGGAATTCAACAGGCTGGAGCTAGATGACCACCAGCAGCTAGCAACTGGCTTGGGTGCCTTACCCTGCTGATGGATGATTTTTCAAGTGTTTGCTTGTGTTGGAAAAAATGCTGTACAGAGCAAGGGATCAAATCCAGCATGGCTCCCGGTCTAGAGTCTAGCTTCAGGTCCACATCATGCTGACGCAGATGTTTCTGGCCTTGAGGATTGGGCATTGGGACCCAGAACATGTTGACGGATGGATTTCGGGGAACCTCCCCACCTGACCTGACCGGGGGATCGGAGTCCGGCGCCCCGCAGCGCGCGCTCGACCTCTTTGGGCTCCACTCGGCTCGTTCGTCGAAACTCGGGCTCCACTCGCCCTCCAGGAGCTGGGCGCCGAGGTGAGGGCACAGGTAGGTCCGAGCCATGAAACTCGCAAGTCTCAGGTGCAGCATGCAACCCGAAGCAGTGGCCGACCCTGAGATGCCCTCATGGCATGACGATGGCGACTCGGAAGATCTCGGACTGGGCCCTGTGGAGGAATCCTTTCTCTTGGATTCGTTTGAGATGGAATCTGATGAAGAAGACACCATCACACCCATGAAGGGTATGACCCCGAAGTGCAGCAAGCGTCGCCTACGGAAGCTCTTGCAAGACAATCGTCTCCATGACTTCCTGCAACGCCACGGCTTTGACCATCTAAGCCACTCCCAGCGCTGTGGAGGTGACGACTTCAATCCGATCCATTTGGCTGCTCAAGAAGGAGATCACCAGGTTCTCCGTGCCCTGCTTCGGATCGGTGTGAACTGGCAGCAGAAGACTTCGCTGGGACAGACAGCTTTGGAGATCGCAAAGCGATGCAACTGTAAGGGATCCCATGATCTTGTGATTGAAATGCTTCGCAAGACACAAGTCTTTCAAAGTCGGCAGGTGTTCCTTCTCGGAATCTGAGCGACTGTCCCATGGTCCAGTTTTGCCCACGGACCCACGTTCCAAGGCAGTGACCACGCTTTTTGGTTTGCGATGTTAGGCCGCCCCATCATGTCCCTGAGATAAACTGCTTGCAACTCATTTTCCAGAGCGATGTTAGGTCGTTCTTTTGGAAGCAAGCAAGCCCTGGCTGGCCACCACCGACTGGTCCAATCTGCAAGTGCAGCGGCTTTGGGAAAAGGCGGGCACTTTTGGGTGAAAGGAAGTTGCCCAAAATAGGACCAAATGGGTGTCTCTTCCACGTGTGTTCATGCTCGAATCAGGTCAAGAGAGACAGGATGTGTCTCTTGACATTGAAATAGCATGAAGTTGCGTCCTGGGAGGGAGTGCGGATCCTGGAACATTCACCAAAAATTCACTTAGAGACAGTTCTAAAGAGGTTCCGTGTTAACGAGGTGCTGTGTTTTTTTCTTTCCGCAAATGACGGACATCTGACCCTGGGTCTTCTGAGAAAGGGCGGAGTCGAAACCTGAGAGTCTGCACTGAGACTCGGTCTCTACAAGTGACATGAAACAGGATCCGAAATCAAGATGCAAATCATCAGAAATCTAGCAACCTAGTCACCTCTCCATTCTTTTCAGAGGAGTAACTCCACTCAGTCTTCGTCAATGGCCCGCCTCGAGGGGCCTAGAGTCTGCGGCCAGGCTGGTGGAAATGCAAGAGAACAGAGATCCGTGCCCTGATGGTTTGGAGATGAAGACGCGTCTCAACTGCATGCGTGGTGTCAGACGTAGCAAAGGTCTGGAGATGGAGCACTCGCACTCGTCTCCGAGTCGGGTCGGAACGAACGCGGCGTTCAGGGGGGGGACAGGAACGAACTGGGAATGGATTCATTGTTGATCACCTGCGTGTCGCCTTACAGCACCACCCTGAGATCAGATCATTGCAGTTTCTCACCTTCCAAAGTAAGAAGTTTCCTTGTGCATGTATATACTTTGCCAACAACCGCAGGGCCTCAAACATCCTGAAACAGGCCTCAGATTGATTTAGAAACATCACAAGTTCCTCTGACTGGGTGATCTTCAGTTCCTTTGAGCTTCGTTGTCCGCGGACAACGCGTCCCTCCGAAAATCCACGCCGCATGGAAACCTGAGAAGCTTGGAAAACCTGAAGAAGTCTGCTTCGCTGCCGTGCGTGGCTAAGAAGTCCAAGCACAGGTGGGGGCGTTCTGTTTGGGCTTGGACCGGCCGAAACCGCAGGGCCGTGTGGATGACGAAGGTTCTTCGGCATGAGATCGGTGGAACGGTGGAAGGGTTGATCAACAAATGGGGTGCCAAACCGGTGGATCTTCAGGGTTTGCACAGGCAGGTAGTACAGATCCACCCCGTGGAAAAAGTAGAAATAAAACACAGGTAGTGCGTTTCTATGTTAGTCTTCGGGAGTGTAGTTCGTCTGGCAGAAGGCAGTGCGGTTCTTAATGGTTTTTGGGTTTGACATTGAAGGGTTTTGCCGTGTTTCCACGGCTTGCTGGTGTTCGGCAGTAGGTGAGGCCATTTTTCAGGGTGGTGAAGATCCAAATGACCACTGTTGAAGACATCAAATACATTCAAGTACCCAGAATCATCCAATCAGCAATCTGTTTGTAGTGGGAGTGGGCCCTTTGCAGGTCGGGCCACGAAGCCGCAAAGAACCAGTTCTGGGATCAGACGGGATGACGTTCTACTGACGTCCGGATAGAACTCACGTTCAATCTGAAGCTTAGTGACTGACTGCAGGTGAGTGCGGATAGAACTGATCAATCTGAACTCGGTTGGACTATGTTGGTACTTAACATGACTTAACAGTTTTCACCTATTCCCACCAGCTTTTGGTTCATCTGCCTGTCGCTCTCGACTCCCCCGCACCAGTCGCTGGTCCATTCCAGGTCGCAGAGTGAAGGACTCCATCGACGGAAACGGGGCGCCCGGAAGCCCAGAGGAGGGCGACCCCGAACCAATGACTAGTCTATTTCCCCTCTTCCAAGGGGTCGAACTGGGAGACCTCTCCCATTTTTAACACACACCCACATGTAAAGAATGGGAGACCTACTCATGGTTTGGAGTTTCTGAGGGTGGTTTCTCTACCTGCTCATTGTTTCAATTGGTTTCCCACGCAAGGTTAAAATGTTAAACATTGTTAACAATATCTACTCTCTCAAACAAAGAGGTGGCTGGAAGATGAGAGCCCTTTCTACCCTAGTGAAGGCTGAGGGCCTTTTTGCCAGTTGGTTCAAATGGACAATTTTGGGGGCTCACGCTTCCTGCTGATTCATCGCCAATGCTGGTGACTCAGTCTCCAAGCACCTGATTTCTATGTTCGAAGACAGTAGAACTTTTCTCGACGAAGAACACACTTGTACGCGGATGGATGAGGGCTGAGACCGGTGAGGAACCCTCAAAACAGATCCTGCAACACCTGGACTTCTTTGAAGACTTGCCAGCAAATGCCAGCAACTTAGGAGAAGGAGCTCCACAAATCCAGAAGCAGGAAACTGTGCAGCAGACGCGACGTTAAGAAGACAGAACTAATAGACTGATTATTCGGTTGTCACTTATTATCCAGTATGGTTTTTGGCTCGTACTTATTTTCAATATGCACGCGCACCGTCGCTTAAAGAAAAAGAACAAGTAAGCTGTTGAAAGATGATACTATCAGGTAGCTATCAGCTATCAGATGCAACTGAGGAGTCTTCTGCCCAGAAATCCCAGTCACAGGTGTTCTGCATGGGATCCCGGACTTTTTAAGGGCCGTTCATTGCGCACTGTTTGGTACAGTTCTTTAAGTCTTGGGTGTTCTTTGAAGGGGTCGTACTAGAATCATGCGGGACACCACAACCAACATACTACCACACCTGCTGGCAGACTAGGACCTAGGACACTGATTCCTTTGCCTAACGACACGCATCACCTCACGACATGCATGTCACCCCCCTCCGACTCACGACGAAGTCATGATGGGTTCGATGGACCTGGGGGAAACCGAGACGACGGATGGCCCCGGGAGCGTCGAAGGAATCAGAGTATGTACGAGAAGGTGAGGTATACGAGAGGGTTCACAATCTTTGGGTTTGAAGCGGAGATGAATGAAGAACGTGATCTTTCTATGTGTGTTCATTTGGGGATGAATGAAAGGTTTCATGCAGAGAGACTAAGATACAAATGGACTCCTTTTTTTCACATACGCGCTCATCGAGTCAGTAGCAGAGGTGTACCTGGCAGGAAAGAATGAAAGCAGAGTTTGTGTGTAGCAAAGTGCTCGAGGGAGGTTTAAATAAGACGCAATCTAGGAAACTGATGAAAAGATAGCATTAGAATGCATTAGAAGAGTTTTCGTCCAAGCAGGGCGAATTTGAAAGGGATGCCTGTCCCTCATATAGTGTTGAGGTAATGTCAATATGAACTGTTTCACTTCGTTGTGTCGTTGTGAGAAGTGTGCATTCAAAACTGCTGTGTTGGCCTTCTCCTTCTTGGGACTCATGCTTGGTTTCGGGACCGAAGCAAGAACGCTTCGGTTCCAAAGCCAAAGGTCTGACTGCTGCTGTTTGGCTTGGCTACGCTCAGCATAACCTGTATTTCTTCAGCTGAATTGAGAAGATTGTTTGAGGTCATGTTTACAAGTTGTGCTGAGCGTGGCCAAGCCAAAAAAGCAAAGCATTCAGACCCGGGGTTTTGGAATCAATGTCGGCGTGCGTCCCCAGAAACCAAGCATGAAGCCCAAGAAGGAGAGGGCCAACGTTGAAGTGCTGCATGTAAACTTCTAGAAACATCGAAGTACAACGTGTCCATCAATTATGACATGGCATGCACTGGGTGTGTTAAACCATCGAGAATGTGGGCCAGAGCGCAGTCTCACCTTCACAGAGTCTGGACGACTTCGCAGAGGGAGTGCATTCGGTGTAGGTCAGACCAATCAGCAACCCGACCATGTTTTTTTTCGCTGAAGATCTCGGATTCTCAGGAAGAAAGAGCCCACGGAAGAAGAACAAATTTCAGTGTTGAAGACGCTTGACTGAAGGAGGAGGGAACCATGTCATTGTTTCCAGCGCTTTTGTTTCCAGTGTTTGATCATTGCATTTGCCATTTACTGGAACTAAGATGGAATCTCTCAAAAAGGTAGTGGGAAACGTGTTCTTTTTGCTGCGGGTGAGGTGTCGCGTCAGCCCTTTCAATGTTTGTTCACTGGTGGGCGCACAACCGGTCCACCCTTGAGATAATGGACAGCTATTCGGTGACTGTCGTGGATCAAGGCCTAGTTTAAACATCCACATGTCGACCGGTTTCAGCACCTCTTACGATCGTCAAACCAAACCGTTTGCGCAGGGTGTGCTGAAACCGTCTGAAACCCACCCTGCACTTACCTGGCTGCGAAGGAGATCCACCAAAACATCCACAGAAACCTTCTACAACGTGGTTGGAACGCACAGTTCCAAAGTGTGTTTCTTCGAACTGATTCTTACAACGTGGTTCTGAGTCTGATCTGTTCAAGGCGAATGATCACCACCAGGATGTTTTGGATTGTTTTGGTGATATGCGTCATTGTGATTTGTCCGGTGTTCCATCCCCCAAAAAAATGCTGCAACACCAAGTTCTAGAGCCGCCAAGTGCTCTAAGCTGTGTGAAATTGTGGGCATGGATTTTGTTCAGGCGCATCATGTCGATCTCTTCTTTGAGCAGAATTGGTTGATCACGTGTGATTCAGTGATTTCTCTCCTGTAGCGGCCAAAAATTGTAGGCTGTGCTGTTTCGATGAGAACGACCTTGCTATACATGACCCTCGCGGTTCAATACTATCTAATTACTCTATGTCTAACTATTACTTGATGTAGCATCATCCATTCGTAGCACCATCGAACCAACATTTGATGTACTCCCTGTCCCGTTCCTGGTCACGACCCAGCAACCCAGCCATCCCAGGCGGATGATGGCCTTCGAACGCCGGAACCCCTTCGGTGCAGTGGCGGAAGGCGCCAGCCGGCCTTCGAAGCGGCGGGGCAGGAGTCCACTCATGTGCGTAAAGCAAATACCCAAATGGGCGAAGGCCGATTTTTTCCTATAAGAAACGGTCGGATGATTTGTCTCTATGTTTTGTGCCCTCTCGTTCTTTTTGCATGGCATGGATGGTGGTAAGACATGGTGAGACACTCTTTGGGTGGTTGGGACCGATTTGTTCGAGATTTTCTCGAAACTACAACCAACCAACCAACCGCCACCACTTTCCATGATTGGATCATTTGTCACAGTGGGTAAGAGGCATTATGGCAAGTAGCAGCATGAAACAAAAGATAGAAAAGATGGGAAATTGACCTGAACTTTTCCAGGATGCAACTTTCTTACTTTTTGGGGGATCGCTATATAGAGTTGTAGACGATGGCAGGCGGTTTCGTTGAAGGGGCTGCCACCAGGTCCCATCATGTGATATCTAACTTTGACATCTCAGAGTTCTCGCCGAGCTTCGACATGGAGATGCGCATCGAAGGAGACAAAACAACGCCTTCTGGTCCTCAGGTGCATCACCTGGTCCTCAGGAGCCAGGGAGCCTAGTCGGGCTCCGTCCCCGATCCGGTCCCCGCCCCAAACTCGGAGATCCGCAGTAGGGGTCCCATACTCGGCCGCCCGACCTGAGCGGCGAGGCACCAGCAGCTTTCATCACATCTCGACCTGCTACTTGGAATCGGCAGACGGTGAGCCGAGAGATCGAGGTAGACGGTTTCAACCAGACCCCCTGAGTGGAACAGCTGGGAATGTCCTGCTTTGTTTGTTACTCGTACTAAAAACTTCAAGAAGTTTGAGACATGCCCGTGTAGCCGACCAAATACAAAGTGAAACCCCTTTCCAAATGAGGAAAGAAATGCCCAGAATCGACTGGTGGATGTCTCGTCGTCCAGGCTGGAGAGGTAGATTTCTACGTCCAACTGGTAAATCTTGAGCTAACATCAGACAATTGAAGCATGCTGAAGCCAGTGAAGCCTTTGGATTCGTTTCTAGGCCCAAACGTTCCGAAAACGCACCGGCGGTTCCCAATGTTCGATCCTTTCTTCTGCAGTATGTCACTGTCCCAGCGTGCAAACACCTAGCAAGACATAGTGACTCATAAACCTGAATAACCTCTTTGGCAGGGACCCCCCCCAAGCACCTATATGTTGTTGGCCTTTTTCCCATCGGAACAGTGGTCAAATGAGTTTTCAGGACAGCAAGGACTGCCAGCCCTGCTCCTTCGTGGCTCGACCCTGCTCATACATCTTCTGTCTGGGCAGCATCCTACTTCGCGGTTTTTACTTCTTTTTCCAGTAATTCGTTGAAGTTTTGCAACACACGCTCAGTTGAACAAGCCGACCCCAATTACATCCAAGATACGAGTTGACCGGTCGGAGAACGGGGAACGTCCTTAGACGCAGAGGGGCGGTCCGCGAGCACCACGGGCGACCGGTCGAGGTGAGAACAGGTGATTCTCAGTGTCCGCATGTCCCAGGTTACGAGAGACAGCAGAGGACCTTCTGATTGGGGTTTTCTGCGTGCTGAAAGAGCCCATGACAGCCAGAGCCAAGGATCCATGGGGAAGCGGTGTTTTTGGAGATGGCAAGGAGATGCCAGGATGTTGTTGCACCACCCGTGTTTGTTGCCTTTGTTGTTTGCACCACCCCTGTTTAAAAGCTTTGAGATGCCCTTTTCTTGCTGATATATACTTCCTTTATGTTTCGCAGTCAGGGAAATGACATGCCAGGTTGATGTTTCTGATACTGGGTCTACAAGATTCTAGTGTTTGTCTTGGGTTCTTGCACACTACCTCTTTAGGTGTTCAAGAGTCGTTAGACGCTGCTTCCGTCACTTCTTTGAGCACTCAACATCATGAGTTGTTTCATGTGTTCACCAATTTTGGGGGTTGTTCTCCCATTATATGACCAAAAGATGCCAAAAGCATCCAAAAGCCAGTTTTCCACCGTGTTCATGGTTGCATTACAATGACTGTCTTCCCCCCCAAAGGGGGAGAAGTCCCAGCAAAGCTTGACAGCCAAAGCTTGCAGTCCGCACACGAGCAGCGTTTACTAAAAACTGTTTACTTCTGGTTTGGACTCCCAAAAGCTCTATACAGTGTTGAAGTTTATTGTCGTTGGCTAACGTGCGTCTGTTCTTGGGAAACTCCTCCGTCCATTTTGGAATGAGCGCAACGAGCCTAGTTTACTGTATGCAGAAAAGCAAACAGCAAACCTGATCACAACCCTTGTGTGCTAGGTGCCACTGCATGCTGTCAAGACTCTTGCGATGAACCATCACAAAGGTGATGGCAGAACTTCGCGCTCAAAAGTGTCCGAAAAAACAGACCACTGCACTTGCAGAGCAGGTGGACCCCATTACTGGCTGACTTGTGCGACCTGTAAGGCACTGTAGAGAGCAAGCGGGCGACCCCCCCAAAACCGAGATGCTTCACTCTGCATCGATTCTCCTTTCCTTACCAGCAAAATGCGTGAGTGGTGCTAATTAAGAGACTGGGAATGGATCCAGAGTAGGGATCGTCTTATGATTCTCTCCAACAGATCCTGCTGGTTTCCTTTCAGGCTTTCGAGATCCACTAGTGAGAGGAGAAGAACAGCGACACCAAGCCTCGCAAGTCGCCCAGGAGAGAAACGCGAGCCAGTGAACCCAACATGCCAGTCCAGTATGGTCAAGAAAGGATGGGAAGACTTGCAAAGTATGGACATGATGCAGAAGGACTTGGTGCAGACATGGATGTTTTGAAGCCAACCTGGAAGGCATCCGAGCGGCAAGAGAACATCTGGATGGCGCCAGGAACTCAGTGTGAGGTTGGGAAGGAGTCATTTATATGGGCTGTCTTCACTTATCATTCCTGGTGTGGGTTGAGATCTAAGAATAATCAATTATATAGAACTTCGAACTTAACTTATAAAAAAATCCAACAAGCTAGAAGCCAAGCGTTCCAGATGATTCCAGATGCCAAAGAAGGTCACGGTAGTGGTCACAGTCTCTTGGGCAGGGCCACTGTCCTTCGCACGATCAACTGGAATCCCACGATCAATTTGAACTGACAGAAGTGAGTGAATCAACAAGGTCTCAGCCTAGAATCATGTTGACATCACTTACTGCTGCAGACGCATGGAGCCGACAACGACAATGCTAGTGGCACATTGTGACAATCTCATGGGTTTCTACATCTGCCTTAGCTTTTGCTATGTGACAATGTGATACAATTTGGTGTACATGTGTACATGTGACATGTGTGTTTACTCTTCCCAGCTGTGCTCCATGCGAACGGAATGGCCTGGAAAACGCCATTCACAATGGATGGCATAGGCAAAACCATACACGAAACGTGTGGAGTATTGGCATGAACCTCCGAAACGTCGAGGTCGGTCACGAAACACGCCTTCCACGTCGCCGTCGCTCCCGGTACTCGACGACCCGAAGGCCCCGGAGGCTCCGAACCGCCTGGTCGGCCGTAGGCGGCCGTGGTGCTGTTGCCGCGGTGTTTTGGGAGGTCTTGTTTCAAGGTCAGATGTGCGTCAAGAGTTTGGTGAAAGCCAAGCGGCGGGTGCTTGTGTATGCTTGTGGATGCTGTTTTCGGGAAACCAGAAATGAAGGCGAGGATGAAGGATACCAGGCAAGGTCCTGAGTGAATGGACCATCAAGTGCCAGAGCAAGTGACGGTGCCATCTTTTGTGCGGTATTCTTTTTTTGGAATCCTGAAGGAAAGCGTGAAAGAGTTCATTGGAACACAGCCCTTCTAATTGCTCAAGGTGCGCCTAGTATCTTCGGTTTAGACAGAATGGAACGACCTCAGTTTGACGTGATGGTGGTGATGGACGTTTCCGGGAGTATGCGTGGACAACCCAATCAGGATGCGTGTGAAAGAAAGCGTAATGGAAATCTTTACGGACATTTTGTCGGATGAGGATTCCATCGGCCTCGTGATCTTTAACAACGAGGTCAAAGAGCTCCTTCCTTTGAGCTCCAAGAAGGACTTGCGTCTTCCCATGATGTCGGCCTTAATGAAGGGCATCACGTGCGAAGGGCAAACCGCCTTGTGGGACGGTCTCTATGCGACTTGGATCTTGAACATTTGCTTTTTGAGTCCGCAGAAAGAAAGGTTTGCTTTCGGTTAATGGTTTGTTTTACATGTGTCCATTCGGGTTTGCGGGCTCCATTTTATTTGAGTCCCTTGTGCGTGTGTGTGTGTGTGTGTGTGTGTGTGTGTTTGTTTTGAGTCGTTCCGTGTTTGTTTTCGTATCAAGCGTCTGGTTTGGTCCGAGGAGGGCTTCAAGCTCCTTTGCAACCGCAAACACCAAGATCATCATCCGTACCTCATCGTTGTCACGGATGACAGGGACAACGCGAGCAAGAAGAAGAAGAAGAAGAAGAAGGAGGAACGGGATCAAAGAACAAGCAAAACCCAGGCACTCCAACATGGAGGGCATAAATATTCCAATATACTCTTCAATGAAAACCCAGACACTCCATGTAACAATGCCTAGCTTGAGCGATATGGATTCACTGACTCGCTTGTTTTTCAGGAAGTGCGGGACACCTTGGCCAAGCCAGGGGAAGCGGGCTTCAGAGGGACACAGGCCTCGAACTTCCATATGGACTTTCTCACCGTGCCTTAGCAGCCGTCCAGCATGTCCATGTCCGTTCCGAGAAAGCTTCAAGTCATACAGGCATGCCATGGCCCTACGTTGAATATGAACTTCAAAAGCACTTGTGATTTTTCCAGCTCCACTGCTTAGGTTGGTGCCAAGGCAGACCAAGAAGGGGCCAAGGAGCTTTGCAACCTGGTTGCCTCTAGCGAGTGTTTTTGAGCCTTGTGATGCGCAAACCTGACCATCCTTCAATCGGGTTTGGGGTTCTCAAGTTTACATGGACTAATGCAATGCTCTCCCAAAGCAAGCCTTTTGTCCAGCTGTGTGCAAACTCCTGCACCAATGACCGTTCTCTTAGGTTGCAAAGGGCACATGAAGCACCTTCATGCGGCCACCACAGCAGAAATCCGCTCCACCTTCAGGCAATTCATATGAGATCTTCAAGGAACTTATCAGTTTGCATTCTGGCCGACCCACCTTGTTCTTTTTCCACAGAGATTGCTGTTTACCACCAGGTTTGTGTTGCAGAGACCTTGCGGTGCGCCGCATCAACGAGATCGAACCTGGCGCTGTGAAGAGAGGCTTGTCCAAAGCGAAGACGAGCAGTTTCAGACGTTAGTCGTGTGGGGAGGTGGAACACCTGGAAAAGCCACACCACTCAGTTGGACTTCAACTCTATACATAGAACGAATGACCCAATGATCATCATTCAAGTGCTTTGAGAGTCTTGAAGGTCAAAGGCAAAAGGATAGTATTTTTGTGTAATGTTGGATCATGATTAGTAGATGTGATTCTCCCCCTAAACACATTTAAGGGCCTTTATAATAAACTACCACCAAAACAAATCTGGGTTGGGTTCCTGGGAGGATTCCATGTTGTAATGTATTATAGTATTCAGGTTCTTTCTTTTCAATTCATAGATTATAGACTTATAGTTATTCATGTTCCTTCTCTGGTTCTTTGTAGATATTCTCAGCAATCCTTTTGTACTAGTTACTAAGAAGAGGACAAGAAAGGTTCTCAGGTTTTGCGGCTTTGCAGAAGAACTAGAGAAACCTTATTTACTCTCAGCAGGCCAGCCATTGGCTGAGTAGTATTAAGACATACTAAGATTGTATTAAGACATTAAATGTTGTTCCTCTGTTTTTCTGTTTTTTTGGGGGGGGCGCAGCAGGGTGTAGCCGTGGCACTGTTTGCATGGCCCGGTTCGCCGCAATAAAACCAAGTCCCAGGTTCACGGCCTGACACAAGTGGGGGGATTGGGGATGCCATTTCTCGGATCTCGGTGAGACCGCAGACCATGGACGTAGTCCCGAGTGGACGGGTCAGTGATGTGTCGACGGACAGCAAAGCCTGGCATCCAAACGAACTAACCACAAAAAAAAAGTAACATCTTGTCCAGTCTGCACGTGGATGAAGTCAGTCAAGAAAGTGTCCACCCCATCGTTCAAATCCACCTGAATGAGTGACCATGCTGACCAAATCAAGTCACAGGCTAGTGCAGAAGTACGCCTGAGCTATGTTCAAACTGGGAGGTCTCCTGTCTCCCAATTTTAATACACCACCCACATTGTTATCAAGTCATTTAGTCCTTTCATTGCTTTTCAGTCCGGGCACCCCGACTGTGTGAACCCACTTGCTGAGGAAAAGCGCTCAAAACGTGCCCCTGCGGGTGCTGGCATTGCCGCAGTGATGGGCCTGCGGGAATCTCCAAGGCGTCGTTTACATCCTTTGCCAAAGAATGCAAAAACCCAGCTATGTCGTTTCTTCGGCACACCAGGCGAGCATCCAGTGACCAGTATACGGATGTATACAGTACATTTGCCAGACTATATACGTTATAATTAAGGTGCCTACCCTATGGAAGCGTGTTCGAAAGATGCACAATTTGGTGTATCAGTTCATGAGCACTGCCTATATTCATTCAGAAAGTGTTCTTTTGTGGGAGTATCGCAGTTTGGTTTGCCCCTGTCGAGGTGGATGCAACGAAGGTGCAGATTGCAACTTTGCCCATGGTGAAGCAGAGCTACGGGGTCCACCAACGGCTCTGCCTGTCATGCGAAGAACCGACAGTGGCATTCTTCCGAAGAGGAAGTTGTGCGCCTTTTTCGGAACACCAAAGGGGTGCCTCAAAGGTGACAGCTGTGATTTTGCACATGGAGAAGCAGAGCTTGAGGGTACACCTGGAACACCAACAACTGCCACCTCCAGTCCTATGAGAAGATGTGACAGTGACACCATGTTAGGACATAGAGCCGCGGATTCCGCTCGCTCCAAGATCCGTCCTTGCACTTTTTTTCAACACACCAAAGGGATGTCGAAATGGCCGGGCATGTGGTTTTGCCCATGTACGTGGAGCTGGTGCTCCCGGCGCACATGCCCTTTTGACGGGACCCAGGGCGGCCCCTCCTGGCCGTGGAGCTCGTCCTACACCCTCGCCTCGACGCAAGAGGTAATTAGGTCGCACCCAAAAAGATTGGGGGAACTGGTGCAACAAGAGCAATAATTGGGGACCAATGGCTTGTCCAGTGTGTATCGTTTTCCTCATGACCAAATGGTTTCTTTGTTGGGACCCTTTTTCTGAACCAGAGCCACTTGCCGTGCTGCTAGCTCAAGGTCCTGTACAGTTTAAGACCTGCAAATACCTGCAATATATTGTCCACTGGCGGTAAAGAGGGGTTTTTCCTTGGCCACTCTTTCCGTGGATGGTTTCGCAAGACTGTTGGCAAGACGTCAAAGCTGGAAAAGTGTAGTGACCCACTCTTGCACTGACATAGGGGCCTTTCCTATGGTTGTCACTGCAGAATGTGTCCTTCATGGAGCGCTTGGGGAAGGGAAAACGCCGGAGAAAACACTCGGCAGTGGCTGACAGTTGTAGCGCGCCATGTTACGACTGTCAGCCTGGGCAGATGGATACCACGACGCCCTTCGAGGCCTCCAGCTGCACGAAGTCGACCTGATCGAAGCTGTGAAGTTGGGCCTCACCACCAGGCTTCCCAGGATTCCGGAAGATTCCAGGTGGCCAAGGTCTTGAAACAACGAACGAACATAGAAAGTTCTCCAAGGGTTCTATGATTTTCTATGGTCCATATAGTCTTTTTAGCTGACACCTGCACTTGTCATCATATGCCCATCAACGTTCAAGGCAAAGAGCTAACGAATCTGAGCGATACGGATGCGTTCCTTTTTCTGAAAAATATGAGTCCCCCTGAAAACAGAAAGTGTTCCTTTGGAATCAAAGACCTTTTCAGTTTGAGGCAATGGACTCTCGTGCAAACTCTGGGAGCTTCGAGAGGTTGACGCTGGCTGGTCGATGGGAGCATCCAAAGTCCGTCCACATCCTGAGACGGTGCTGGGTATGTATTTTAACTGGATAAAGTGTGTGTGTGGGTTGCATGTTTTGCTTGGTTGAGGTCAACATCAAAAAAACTCGAAAAACGTCCAAATCACTCTCAAATCACAATGATACTGCAATTGCTCTCATGTCACCAGATGTGGTCAAGCAGTTTCTTCTCTCCCCTGTCACGCATTCCAGTCACTGAGCCATCATTCTCAGTGAGTTTGGGATGAACATGGGCGAACAAATAAACGTCCCTGTCACACCCCAAACTGAGGATATCCTAGCATTTTTTTGAGTTAGAGGGATGATAAAATATCCCCCACGATAGGTTCATTACGGGTTTTCCATCTACTTTGGAGCCGGACCCACTTGCTACCGAATGGAGGCCCACTGCTCTCCGTCACGGCCGCAAGGCGAAACGCCACAGCACCCTGGCGAAAAACATTGGCGTTTCTGACATTGCCGAGGGCCGCAAAAACCGTGCGGAGGTGCAGAAGCCGAGACGACAGACAGAGAGACAGACGGAGAGACAGACAGACAGAGACAGAGACAGAGACAGAGACAGAGAGACAGACAGAGAGAGAGAGAGAGACAGACTTTCCATGGGTGTGTAGAAACTATAAGAATGCAGCAGGAGTTCCATGTCGGGGCGCCTATTGGAGGATCCACAAGTTGGGAATTTAGTTGGGTGTATGATGAGACCAGCAGTGTGCTTGATTCATGATTGCCCAAGAGCAGACTTGAATCCAATTTGGTGGTGCATGCATGACTCATGATCAGAAAGCGTCATTTGGTAGTGGGAGGAGATGAATTCCTACTGATGAGATGTTGGAAGGATTCCTTTTTGTGGAGACAGCCCCAATTGCTTAGAATCACAACAAGGAACCCAAGGCCTTCTCCCGCAGCTACAACTCTGCTCGCTTGCACACAACAGACATGACAAAAAGGCAGCTGTTGAGTTGTTCTTACAGGCAATCGACTTCGCACAGGTAGGAGTAAATTCCTTGGTAGCTGAGTTTGTGAAGCTTCAGCAGTTCCTCCATCTACACCATTGAGGAGTTTAAGGTAGACTATCTTGCTGGCAAGTTGCCGTACGGGCCTTTCTCGCGCCCTTTGAGTTGGTCCCCTTTGAGTTGGTCCATCATCCACATGTCCGAGGGACACCAGGAGCAATTTGTCGAAAGAATCACAGAAAAAATAGAAAGGCTACGGAACGTTTTGTACCCAGGAAGGTCATGAAATCTGTTATTATGTATACTATTACAAGTACTATTACATATACGTACAAGTCAGGTGTAGTGGGAATAACAGCAGTATAGTCAGCAGTATAGGACTCTCAATGCTCTCTGTACTCTAGGACACTAGGGAGAAAGAGGTCACCCGAGACCACGAATCGTGTGTGTGTGATGGGGCGGATGGAGGCATCCTGACGAGTGCCCCGCAAAAAAAGAAGTGGTTCACTGGCAATCTCCAGTCCAGAGAGGTTTAGTAGAGATTCAATTCTAACCGACCAGCATGAAGGATGTTCAACCAGACCGACTGAGCCGACTGAGCTGCGACCGTGAAGGACCCTCCCCAAAACCACGGGTCGATGCCACAGTGTTCGGATGTCACAAAGGAAGATGGATGCACTGGGTCATATCAAAGAGTGCAGGTTGGGCATAGGGCATCTCTTGGATATCGGATTTGATGAAACCTAAACCACCAAGAACTTGGTGCACCTCGCAGAATCACTCCATCCGAAAAACGTTGGCGGCTGTCACGGTCAGGAGAACGCCTCGTACGTGGAACTGCCTAGTCTGGAGAACCTGGATGCCTTTGCGCGACGGGTCTATTGCGCCCCATCTGGCAAATTCAGAGAATAAGTTGACCACGTTTGCTGTAGGAGAAAAGTACGTAGAATCCCTTTCCTCAACAATCGTGGAACAAGGTCCCTCCTCTTCAGGCCGTGGATTTTGTTCCTCTCAAAGCAGGTCATGTTCAGCTTGCGTGATTGCCCATCATTTGTTGTTTGCTGCTGACGTCTCACAAATATCATCAAATGTCTAGCTGTCGCCCCGGAGATGGCTGTCGCCTTTGTTGGCAAACATGGGTGAACATCAAAATACCAAGCTGGTTGATCCTTTTGGGTTCTTCCTTGCCTCATGAGTTTGACTCCTCACCGCTTTCACAGGAGATGAACAAATATATGTTATAGTGGGCCATCAGATTCGATGGCACAGGCCGCATGATGTCCTTGAGATGGGGATCCATATAAACCACCGGCATTGGGGTCTGTGCCATTGGTCCTCTCAATCCACTATAACATATAATTGATGTACAAAGCAACTCCATCAATGAACAGCTCAAGAATGCCAGCAAAGCGAGGCAGCAAAAGGGTTGAGTTGCATAGTAGGGGCATCCTGATCCTCATTCCTCATGGATCGAGAAGCTTTTGGTACAATTGCTCGGGCTTGGACTGAGGCTGCCTGCCTTTCCTCCTGGTGACCATCGTGCCCTTCTTCGCCGCATTCTATGCCCTCATCCCTGAGGCTGATCCCAGCAGTTGTCAAAGATGGGTGCTTGGGATATAGATTGACACCACTGGTCACTAGTCTGTCTCAATATGTCTAAATTGATCTAAATTGTAGATGTCTTCATCTCAGAAACTCATTGTAGTTAGTGTTCTCGCACCCATGTCTGTCTCATCATGTGCGGTTTCTCAGATCTCAGGGGACCTTCAAAAAAGAACCGTCAAAACATGCATGTTGCATGTTGGATGTTACACACCAAATCATCCACTCTTCAGCTCTGAGCCGCAGTCCCTGGCCCATGTTCGGCAAACTGGCGAGGGTCCAGGGTCCAATCTCCTGCAGCTTGCTGAGTAGCATGTGCCAGCAGAACACATCCTTTGAGCCGAATGATGTTGGATCCCCACAGTTTCTTCACAAGCTGCAGCAATACACTCCCCTGAAATCATCATGGGCGTGGATGGCAGTTCGCCCTTCGTTGGCCATGAAAACCGAAGACCAAACAGGTGGTGAACTTACTCACTTCACGTTGACCCATGATGAGTTCAAGGAGTGTATTGCTGCAGTTCCACCAATCCACCAGTTTTCCCTGGTCGTCGCCGTTTCCCCCTTGCTGCAGAAGGTCCACTGCCCGGACGGGAGTGTTTAAAGTGGACCGATCATCCAGGGACGTTGGTGGATTTAACTGGAGACACTCTACCTTGCAAGCCAAGAGCTTGCGACCAAACTGCAGGGCCCCCAGTTCTATATTGATGTCCTTGGCTCAAACACTCCCTGAAATCAATATGGGCCTGGCCGTGGAGTGAGTTCACCATCGGTTTGGTCGCCAGGAGGTCGGAACCGAGTCTTCTGGGTGTCATCCACAGGGCAGGCCCATGAGGATGTCATATTTCTCATTGTGAAGTGCAGTAGCCAGGAGTGTCAAAGGGGTGCTATCTATGGAGTACCTAGTCGGGGTGCCCATGACCCACCCACTGACTGGATGGGACGAGCCACACCACCCCGTCTTGTGACCCCCTGGAGATTTGATTCTCTTCTCCACTTCGTCGTTGGAACGCGCCGACTTGGCATCGACACATCTCCGACCGCAAGGCCTCGACAGTGCCATGGTGGGTCTTCCTGGTGGGCGCTGGTGGCTGGTGGCTGGCGTTGCTTCTGAGATTCCCGGTGATTCTGGGATCCAAGGCGTGATCTCAGATGGTAGATGCTTCCAGTTGGTGTGCGCATGTTTCTTTGGCTCGGTGCTTTGGGGGGGAGCATCCAACAACCGTGTTTTGGTAAGGAGTTGTTTGAATGCAGTATTCTAGTTATGGCCACGTTGAAACCAAACAGTTTTTTCAGTGTCCAGGCAGTTTTATTTGCTGATTCAATCTCCAGCTAGCTGTGGGAATGTCCCGATGGAAGCCCTATCCCACTGCGCAGGATAGAGTGATTTGTTGAAGCTTAGGGCCCAGGGATCTCAATGTTAATGGAAAACAGACATTCCCTCATCAGACTCATCAGAGGGAGTCATGTTGTTTGCGTCGCAAATTGTTCGGAAACATTTGGAAACTAGAGATTCATCCAGCTGGCAAACGCTGGCCCAACACTGGTGGCTCACCTTGACCGATCTTCAACCTGTTACTGTATGTCAGCTTTGCTTTGGATCAGGAACGACTTACACTGAGAAATGCAATCTACCATAATCTACCAACTACCTGACACGCTTGGAAGATGTCTCTCTTTTGCCATGCGTGTACGGTGTTTTTGATTGTAGTACCATAGTCAGGATCTACACTCATGAACCGACCATGATCACCGAAAAGTCTTCGTCCATGTTCACCGACCATGATAGTTCATTTGTGCAACTCATGCACCTCCTGAAACCGCACAATACACATCAAAAAAGCATCAATCGCAATCGCGATGTGCTTCTTCTCGCCTCCAGTCCTTTGTTTCGGTGCCACGAAGTCGTCCTTTGTCTGAAACGAAGTCGTCCTGTCCTCGGACCAGGCGGCATTGAAGAACAACTCCAATGCCCAGTCCTTATTGCAGACCATCACAGTGCTCATCTCAGGACCTGCGGAGGTGCAACATCCGAATTCGTTTGCTGTTGTGGAGTTGGGCTGTGCAGTGGATGTGGCAAGAAAAGAATGCTACAACCATCTACAACCTACAGGCTTTGTCGTGATCTCCATTTACAAGAGACTTACATCGGACTACGGTACCCATGGGCACCCGATGTTCGAAGTGCCGAAATCATGGATCGATCGTGATCGAGTGATCGCAAGGGATCGACTGTGAGAGGAAGGTGATATCGATGTCACACTGTCCTTTCCATTGGTTTTGACACCCTTCATGTGTTTAAAAATGCAGAGACTTCCCGTCTCAACTCCCTCCTTGAGCGATGCCTTGGAGTCTCATCGAAAAGCAGGTCAGTTGCATCTGACCTCTCAGTGAGTCTTCCCTCCGCAAACGCAGGAGGCGATTCGCATCGCTTTCATCTTTGCTTTTGGCTGGTCCTTAAAGGTGCCCCACATCTTCGCGCTAGGCGCGGTGGTTTGGCGCTCGAGCGAAGGTGGAGGTGGAAAGAGGCTTGCTTTGGGGTTGGTGACCGCCTGCGTTCTCACATGGAGTGACTGCTATGATTTGGTTCATTTGCTGGAGCAAAGTGGGGAAGCTCCTCGGTACCGGTGTTTCGTCGCGCTTCGTCACCGTCGGCGGAAACGCAGAGGACAAAGTGGTGGGGGGACAGAAGTGAAACTCTGAGAGAAGCCCAATGAAGCCCACAGACCACACAATGACGCACCCTGGCCTGTGTTGGTTTTTGCTGTATCATCGCTGTTACGTGACCCACCTATACAGAATGGTACGCCTTTGACAGGACATTTATAGCTACCGAAGGCCTTTCAGCCTTCAGGTCCATTCGGACGCAGCCGTGCTCATTCTTGGACATCCGCCTTGGACACCAGAATTTCGGAGCCCCTCTCAGCTCGGACGATGAGTGTGACTGATCTTACTTGCTGAAAACGACTCACAGATCGATCTTCATCCTTCCAAACTTCTTGGACACGAAAACTCTGATATGCATTCTCAAATTCTGATGTTCAACTCAAGTTGACACTCATCCTTCCAATCTTCATCTTCCAAATTCCTCAAATCTCCTTCAACTCCCTTCATCCGGAGATCGCCATCTTTTGTGGGTCAACACTCTCAGTTTCGGGCTACGAAACTCCTGTTTCCAGCTACCTTAAACACCCGTCTCCAGCTTTTAAAAAGGCACCCGTCCCTATGTCCCTATATGTAGAACTTTTTTTTCGGTCTTCCAAGTGACGTTGTTCACCAGGCTTGGGTTGGACCAGCTTGGAGCTCCTCTTCACCCTGGTGCAATGCCTGGCCACGATTCAGCTGCTCCGCGGAGTCCAACAGGGCGACGCCAAGGCTGTCGAGGCGGGACGTTTGCAGGACGAACGGAGCGGTTGGCGGAACGGGAACCGGACGGATGGACCGCGATGTCTGTCGGATGGAACCGAACAGGACCGCGTTTTTGTGTTTTTAAACTTAACGGTTTAGGGGTTTAGGGGGTTGGGAGGGAAGGGGTTGAGTCATTGGAGGGTTTTGGTCTTCAGCCCCCCAAAAATCAGCCAAAAATTCCGTTGGATGCGGAGTTGAGGTGGGAGAGAATCTCACAATGAGGTAGTTAGAGATCGGAAAGAGGAAAGTGGAAGAATGTTCCTTGCTGGGTGTCTCTCCAGTCTGAAGTCAAAAGAAGAAATAGATGGCAATAGCAAGAAATACGAATGGAGATGATGGGTTTACTGAACTCGGGGAAACCACAACCCGTGCAACGCGCGCAACGCGCGTGTCATCTCGTTCAGAACATGTCGCATCCACAAAGTCGTAGATGTTCAAAGAAGGTAAGGCTTGCCTCACTCACTCAAAGAAGTGTTTGAGCAATGGCATGGCGGGTAAGCGCGGTGGTTGTTTGCGGTTTCAAAGTGGGAAACAATCGTGGCATGTTTTTTCAGATCATTTTGTCCCTGACGCTGAGACGACTAATGTGTTGCTTTTGATGCCAATCGCATTTGGGAAAAGAGATATGTGTGCATCGACTATAGTGACTAGAGAAAGCGGTTGATCACTTGATCACTGAAGATGCTATCGTGGCCTAACTATGAACTTCCACAGGCAGTTTTACTTGCACCATCTTGCACCGTTTTGCACCTCTTGCGCCATCTTGCACCCCACTGGCGTGGAAGCTTTTGTGAAGTTCGGCCATAAAGCGTGATAAAAACAGTCAGGTCCACAGGTTTCTGTAGAGTGGTTGCACGTCTTCCTTGTCCATGGTCCGAGTCCATGGCAATTGAATTCAATGAACAGATTGTAGAACTGGAAGAACACCGGCCTCTAAGTGCCCAGCAGGAGACCAGAACCAGTACCAGAACCACAATGGAGGTTGAGTAATCATATTACGTTACAAACATACCGCCTATAATGGTACAAGTCTATGCTCCTGGTTTGCTCCATGTTTGTCCTACCAGTTTGATCCAGCTTCCAAAGACCTCCCGATTCCGATGTTTCTTTGACTTCAACGTGACCATCCGTCCGATTCCGCGTTCCGCGTCCCATCTACCGCGACCCGCGACCCGTCTACCGAGGCCTTCCAAGTCCTGGCGGCCCAAACGGGCCGCAGCGATCCCTTGTCGGTGGACCCTTTCTGGGGTGTTTTGGAGCGGTGCAGCGCGCATCTCATCCACATCGCCATGTGCCTTGGGAGCCGAGTGCAGAGCGGAGTGCGGGCGCGAGGGAGCGAGAAGACCTGAGAGTGTTGGAATTGCCAGGAGTTGCATTGCGGCGACGATCAGCGACTGACGCTACTCGAGAACCAGCGCACCCAGTGCAACG